TGTATGTTTAAATGCTGAAATACGTCAGTATTGTACGTTTTAATGCCTGTAAAAACGTAAGTAAATGTAAGTTTTATAGAACCACATGTTAAATAAAATACATACGAATTATCATGAGATCACGTTGGATATTCTGTGTTTTCTCAGTGGATGTGACTCTGGATCCTGATACAGCTCAACCTAATCTCATTCTGTCTGATGATGGAAAACAAGTGAGACATGGAGACATTAGACAGAAACTCCCAGACAAACCAGAGAGATTTGATACATGTACCTGTGTCTTGGGAAAGGAGGGATTCTCGTCAGGGAGATTTTATTTTGAGGTGCAGGTGAAGGGAAAGACTGAATGGGATTTAGGAGTGGCCAGAGAATCCATTAACAGGAAGGGAGCAATCGCACTGAGACCCAGTAATGGATGTTGGACTGTGGTTCTGAGGAATGGAGATGAATATAAAGCCTGTGATGATCCTCGTGTTTCTCTGTCTCTGAGAGTGAAGCCGCAGCGGGTCGGTGTGTTTGTGTATTATGAGGAGGGTCTGGTCTGCTTTTATGATGTGGAGTCCAGCTCTCATATCTACTCTTTCACCGCTCAGTCTTTCACTGAAAAACTTTATCCATTTTTTAGCCCATCCTTAAACTATGGAGGTAAAAACCCAAGCCCACTGATCATCACACCTGTCAGTTATAATAAATGAATTTACACTCCTAATATGAAATTCAAGATTAAAATAATGATTCTTACAAGTACAAATCTGACAATATCATGTGCTGCTAGTTTTTATCTTTTTTTAATCTGTGCTATAATTACATATTGTTAATATGAATATATAATAATTGTTCAATAAATTATTTATGTAACATTTTTGATAAATATCCATGCCATTTTTTTCACAACTTCACCTGACAAAGTGAAATTGCCTCTAAAATCTAAAAAAAAAAAACATGGTAGCCTCAATAAATTGTTGTAAATTGTTATCAAGGCAGTTTGTCTGTTACAAAATGTTCTGTGATATTACTGTGAAACATCAGATGGTAATACCTTGATATATATCATAGATATTTTACTATAGAAAAATACAATAGAATTAGACATAAGTGAATTAAGTTCTATTTTACACATTTAAACCATATAAAGAGGTGTACTGTGTGTTTTGTTTAGTTTTTTTCTGCTGTCAGGACAAAATAGAGATGATTCTTTTAAATCTTTTTTAAAGTAAACCAGTCACAGTAATAAGTGTGTCCTCCCCATAAAGTTATCAATAACAATAACCACTTGTCATGAAACTGTAAAGTAAGCCAGACAATCACAAGAGCAGGGCTGTATTCCAGAAAACAGGGTTAACGTACCATCTGCTAAACCCTGAACTCTCCGTTGATGAACCCAAACCTTGCTTACTCGAGGTGTGCTGGATCCAAAAACTCATCCGGGAGTAACTTCAGTCAACTCAGAGTAACTTTTAGGTAAAACACATTTTAATGAAATCATGTAAGTTTTGTATTCACCTGTATGTAAGCACAGTGCAGTGTTAATGTTCAAACTGTGTATTTACAATGTTAAAGTGGAGGACAACAATAAATGTTCTTATTAGGAATAAAGCCGCCTGGTCTCTGAACTGTGCAGAGCTGCAGCTGAATAGTTAGGCCTAATACACTGCTGTATTTTAATGTTGGTCATTATGGTGGTGCTTGGAGAGCCACATATTTTCTGAGGTGCTACTTGGTGTAAAACGTTTGAGAACCACTGGTTTAAGTAATAAATGTAGCCTAAATATCAGGTATTTGTTTAAAAATGTGATGTATATTTTAATTTAATTAATTAAATCTCACATTTTGTAAGATGGCATTGTAAGCAATAAATGTTAACTGCAAACATATAGTGGAGAGTGCGTGTTGATTTGGTAGTTTGATTAATAGCTTTATATCAGATGATTTAATATGCCGAACCATTTGATCGTGTCTGTATCATAACCATAAGGTAACCTGTGTTAACTCTTCTTCATTCAAAGCTTCATAACATATAATCATCCCATGTAATTATTAACAACTATTAACCCAAATAGTGTGAAATAACAGAATGAAAATGTATCAAAGTAGAATTGTGCAAGTTTGAAAGTTGAGACATCCCGCATAAAAGGCTGGTCTACAGGAGACAGATTTGGCATTCTGCAGGCATTTTGCTCATCCCTAAGTTCTGATCATTCATGTGTACTTTTTATTTCACTTACTTCATATTGTAATAATAATCTTGTAATAATGTAATAAAATTTAATGTCAGCATGAAATCCAGAATGACCCTATTTACTGTTTTAATAAACATTCATGGGTTTATTGTGCTGTTGATACTTTAATACTAAGCGTAACTATGAACAATAATAATAGTGATGACTGACTGAACAAACAGCAGTAAATATGCTAATCCTTCACTCTTGGGAGTAAACAGTTTTATTCTGTTCAGAAATACTTTTGTACTGGTTTTACATTTTAGTCTTCAGAATGTCTTCTGTGTTATTCATTTCAATTATATAAATAACTCAGCAATTATGAAGCGTTTCTCTGTGTTTACAGTATATTTGATAGAGATACAGTATAAGTGTATTATGCAGCATGTAATGGCACAGCAGCGCCACCAGAGGCAGCAGAGCGCTGTGTTCAGTGTTGCTAATAGAGCCATTTTGCTGCTAGATTTACCTGGAAACTCTTCACAAATGTTGCCAAATAATCAAGTCTGCTGAAACCTCTTCTTCATGAGCTGACAGAAACATACAAACAGACACACATGAAGCAACAGACCGAATACAGGGCTGAATGTAAATGTGTGAATACAGGAGGAGCTCTGACATCACTGTAGTTCAGTCAGAGACTCAGAGAAAGTGAAACTAACTTGATCAACAACAATATGAACACCTGAAACCATCAAACTCTTTAAACAACAGAATATTGAGTCGTTCAAAGACCCTTGTGAACACATCTGATACTCACAGGTAAGTGCTAGAAATATAAGAGAGGTTATTTACTTGCATTATCTTTGTGTAATATAAAAATTAGTTTGATGATCTGAATCTTTTAAGTGTGACAAATATGCAAAAAAATAAACAAAACAGGAAAGGGGCAAAAACCTTTTCACGGCACTGTATATGTTTGTTGGAAAATATAGAGCTTGTTCTTTGTACTTTCTTTAACCAGCAGGTCATAGTTCAGATTGCTCAGTAAGTTTACGAGTCACTCACTTTGTTTCAAACGAATGATTGTGTTTCCATCAATTCTCACATTTGAACCAATTTAATATAAATATTGATTTAGCTGTCATGGTCCAATTTGGTCAAGTCTAAAAAAAAGAAAAACGGTCTTTTTCTT